TGAGGGCCCCGAAGCTGTGGCTGAATGGCTTCAGCAGCTGGAGAGTATCTTTGATCTGTTGTTCACCACTGATGAGGTGAAAATCCGTTGTGCCTCGTTCGTGATGACCGAAGATTCTAGGACTTGGTGGAATGACTATTAGAGGCTTCATCCTCGTGCTGAGAGGGATGCATTGACTTGGGACCAGATGGTTACTATAGTCAAGGACAAGTATTACCCAGAGGCTCATCGTGCCCAGATGATGAAGGACTTTTGGGAGCTCAAGCAGGGACCCCGTCCCGTGGATGTCTACGAGCGCGACTTCACTCGTATGTGCGCATTTGCCCCGATGCTCGTGGATACCGACCAGAAGAAGGCCTATCGTTTCCGTGATGGTCTTCGCCCCGATCTTTGCTACGCCCTGACTGGCCACGGAGCTCTGTCTTACTCCGAGATGGTTCGCCGAGCCACCGAGTTAGAGGTTTGCCAGAATGCCTAGAAGGCGGCTGCCCCATCCTATCAGCAGACCCCTATGATTCAGCCTATCTCAGCTGTTGCGCCTGGTTCTAATTCGGGCAAGAGGAAGGCCGATTACCATCAGAACAAAAAGAAAGGAAAGAAAGGGAACTTCGGGAGGCGTGATGACCGACCCCCTCAGGGACAGCTTCCGAGGTGCCCTAACTGCGGCAAGTTCCATGGGCCAGGAGAGTGCCGAGCAGCCGACAGACACTGTTTCAATTGGCACCGTGTCGGACATTTTTCGCATATGTGCCCCGAGCCGAAGAGGCCACAGCAGCACCCTACCCTCAGCAGCAGCAGCAGCTTCCACCTCCACCCCATCAGCAGCAGCCCAGACAGCCCCCACCTTACCAGCAGAGAGCTGGGGGTCAGGCCCGCGTGTATACCATCACTCATGATGAGGCAGCCAACAACGCAGGTACTATGTCCGGAATGCTTTCGATATCAAACGTGCCTGTATATGCTTTATGTGATACCGGAGCCACTCATTTTTTTATTTCTACTCGTTGCTTGGAGGCTTTGTCCATTAGTAATGTGTGCCCATGTGACCCTCTCGAGGTTAGTTTAGCCTCGGGAGGGACTATTATTTCTGATTCTATGATTCCCAGTCTTCCAGTCAGTATTGGTGGACACATTTTGGAGGCCAGTGTTT